TTCCCCCATTAAAAGTTCAGTAACCTCCCCAAAAAAACCTTTTATTAACCCCAATGCTGTGTAAAAACTCGCGGCAGCCCATCCCCCCCGGGTGTTTTGCCCTTTGCAGGCCCCAAAAAGCTCCCCTTTTTTTTCCCCCTCAGTTATGTCCCCCCCCAAAGCCCCCCTACACTGTGCCCTAATCAGGGCAACTTCCAAAAACCCCTCAAATCCCCTACCTACCCCTTCCTCCCCCAAATTTTTTGTACCACGTATCCGCAAAAAACCCCCCCACCAGTTTGGATACCTGCCCCGCCCTTTACCCTCCCCCCCCGATCAAGAACCTCCAAACAGGGGAATACTTTTTGCCTCTGACGTTGTTTTTGTCTGCGCAAAACACACGAAACGGCCTATCTCCCCATAACCCCTCCTCCCCCCCGCCATTCTCTCACCGCTTGGGAACCGCCGTCTAAATTTTCCCCGAAACCCGCCTTTAAGTATAATAATGTCGCCCCATGGATGACACCCTCACTGTCCTTTTTCATAAAAACCCGTAACCTTCCTCCAAATAATTAATCAACCCAAATTTAAAGAAAAAATTCTTTTCCCTCCCTCCAATAAGCCGAACCCGGCCTTTAGCCACCCCCACCCCACCACGTCACCACGCCCCTTCCACCCTTTGTCCCTCCTCAGTTAATTCCCCCCCACAGCTCCGTAAAACCCCCCAACCCCCTCCCATTTTCCCAACAGACTCGTTTTTAAATTTTCCCAAATATCCCCAAGATACAAGCTGAGAATCCCACTCATTCTGCGAAAACCGCCTTTCGAAAAAGCTAGTTCAATAGTCGGCAGATTTTGAAAAAACCTTTGAGATATATACAACCGCCCAAACCTAGTGCGTAACCTCCTCACGAAAGTATGCTCCACCCCCACGCCCCCCTACCCATCCCTCAACTGAACGTCCACAAAAGATTGCGTAATGCTGTCAACATAGCCCCCCCCCTCGTGGTTCACATCCGCTCCCCTGATCACAAAATTTTCCAGCCCACATTTGTCTCTCACCCCTTGAGTAGAGAGGACGTTGCTGCTGCTCCCCCGGGTGTTGACTGGGTGCAGTAATATTTTCCAACAGGCGCAGGCTTGTCGCCGGAAGCTACGTTGTTTTGAATTAACCAGGGGAGTTCCGGGGCCGTCATGGAGTACTTTACAGCAATAATTAAGACACCTCGGCGTAGCTACAAAGAGATTTGTGGACTTGCCTTGAATGGCACGAAGGGGAAATTTTTTCTTAAATTCAATTCGACGAGTATGTTGAGACAGTGGTTAACAAGTTTCAGGAAGTGCCATACCTGTGAATCATGCTGTACGGTGAGGATCAGATTATCAAGTTACTTCACTTGGGTAAAGTCGGGGAAATGTCCATTTGAGGCGGATGATCGAATAAGGTTTGCCATGAGTAAATAGGGGACGGTACACACGTTTACTGTTCGGAAATGGTCAGCTGGTACTATTGGGAATCCTGGGGGTACGTACTCTCAAAGATGCGATACGCCCCCTAAACCGTCTATGGGTGAGGGAAAAATTTCAAACCGGGTATTTGTGACATCGCGGGAAAAACGACCATTGTCGTTTGGTGGGTCGTATGAACATGCAGCGCATGTGGTGGGGACGTGGAGACAACGCCGCAACAACGAAGAAATAGAGGTGAGGAGAGTAGCAAAACAGCCTTTTCGAATGACTCCGCAGAGTGGTCTGGAGGGAGGGGGTTGAAAAGGCAGAAAAGAGGGCGGGCTACGGGGGGGGGGGACTCCCCTTCCTTG